TATATCTATTAGACAATACGTAACATTGAAACTACTTAACAGTATATACTTTCGCAAGACTTAGGTTTCTATTGATCTAGGAAATCTAAAATGGTAAAGTTCGTGTTCTGAGGGAAAATATAGTTACTAAAAAAAATAGACCATGTTAAAATATATCGTGTTTAGGCCATTTGCTTTTGATTAACATTTAAGGACTAGCCAAATGTGTATAATTTGACTACTAAAATTTAGGTTACTGATAAAGTAATCAGTAGTCTAATAATAAATGATATATTAGTCCATATCGAGCAATGCTTCATGAATAATGTACTATCAAGTTTTAAGAAATTATCCTACCAACACAAATGTCAAGACAGTTCTATTGTATGAGGCGGAAACTTGAAGAACTATGAAAGCCATCATCCAGAAGAAACGAGTGTTTAATAACACTTGTCTATACAAAATACTTCTGATCCATTGGTCAAACACTATGAGTAACAACTTACTATGGGAGAGAACAATCCAGATACCAATGGAGGAAGAAATCAGGAAGAAGCTCTGGCAGTGGATAGGACACACATTGAGGAAACCACCTGACTGTGTCACAAGACAAGCCCTCACTTGGAATCCTCAAGACCAAAGGAGAAGAGAAAGACCAATGGAAAATGCTAGTCAGCGGCCTATGCTCCATTGGGAGTAACAGGTGTAAGTAATTAAATAATTAAATAAGTACCCTACTAATAAAATCTAACGCTTTTATACTACCTTATTTTCGTTATTGTTGCTAACAGTAAAAAGAGGTCGATTAGGGAGTATTTCCGCTAACTTATAATCTCTTATCCTGAGTCTGAAACTTAACACAGAGACAATTTTGTGGTACGAAAATCAGAGAAGTAATTTCATAATCTGTTGTTTATCATGTCTTTAACCAATCTATATTTCTTTCTTTAGTTCTCCATGATTGATGCTAGTCAAAATTATCAAGTTCCCTATTATTGTTCTACTGTCGATTTCTAAATACAAGCCAATGATGTTCTAAGTTAATATGAAGTTGAACTGTTGATCTATTAAATTATCATGTTTACAATTTACTTTGAGTTGACCATCAGTTTTCAAAAGTGTAATCAGATGTTTGGGTTTATGGTATTATATTTTGCAAATCATACATTACTATACGCATTGAATTTTAAATGAAAATGCCTATAAAATGTAATAATATAGATTGATAATTCAAAGTTCAGATTGCTTCTTATTGATTCAACGAAGAATGGACGCCCAAAATCTGGCATACAAGCACCAAAAACAGGTTTAGAATATAAAGAGTGATAATCCTACAATCCTACACGATTAAGAATAAAAGGAGATCGATTAGAGAATTAGTTCATATTTCAGACAAGATATCAACTACTTAATTAATTAATGTATTTTTTCATAATAGTTGAGATCGTGAGTCAATTGAAGCTAGACCACCATGGAAAACATGGATACACTGGACGATCGTGTCGTCCTATTGTGGGTCTCCTCGGCAGTACGCATCCACGATCCCACCTCAAGAGATTCGAACACAGGACATATCAGTCTTGTGCGTGATCACTTAATCACTGGACCACTGAGTCGGCCGGTATCCAACAATGTTAATGTTTAATTTCAACTAATCTACGAAATCAAGCGCCACATCTCACAACAGACCTGGTTGGACTCCACTGATCATTGCTTTTCACTAGAATGCCAAGAACTACCTTTTGGAGACTGGCACTAGTGAGCATTTTTTGATTAATATCAACGAAGTTGTGATGTAAGTTCGCTTTATTTGTAATAAGAAAATGCAACTCTTGAAATTTGACCCAAGTCAATCAAGTAATCCAAGCAAATTTCAATGAATATTTAACTAAGTCAATAAAACTCGATTCTCGTAATAATCACCAATGGCTCAGAGTTAAATTGCATTGTCGGTTATCACTCAACTATAAAATGAAAAGTTCATCATACCAAAAATGTCTGAAGAAACCTTTCTGAAATTTCTTTACAATATAACTGTTCAGTATAGAAGTTCATTTTACTATCATCTATTAATTTATTAATTTCGTAAAGAAAAAAATTCTATGATTTATGGTTTTGTAATCAGTTAGAAATGATGCAGGTTAATGCAACTAATGAAATTAATACATACTTGAACGAAATCAAAATTCAGAGCTTTCTTTCGATTCTTACATACAATTAAAAAAAATACTAATATTTCAAAACTACTACTTGTTAGTCAGAATTCAGTAGTTGAATTAAATAAACAAAAATTTAGTAATCGTTTAATACTTTTTTGAATGGTTTGTGGAGATTGGAATTATTTATGGATTATGCTCGTTATAGATGGATGATACTTGTAGAATATTAAGGCGTTAATCAACAGTTTCACCTTGGTATACGACTTCTAAGCATTATGGACCAAAGAAGAAATCAGAACATTTTGGTCATGAGGTGAATGTTTAACCGTCTTAATCACTGGTTCAATGTTATCTAGATTTACAAATACATAGCTCGCACCTCTATACCCTGATATGTTCACGAAAATAAAAGTGATTTGGTCTAAATCTTGAACTAAATAGCAAACTATTTAACTGGACGTACTAGCCTTCCAACTGAAGCTGATGTATTAATTTATGTGAACACTGATCACTTTTATCTTGTGCAAAGTAATTTCTTCTTTATAAAAGGAGAAATCATTATGATCACTAATTAATAATATAAAATGACGGATAATTCTCATTTGAACACTAAAAATTACAAACACGAAGTTCACCGGAGAGATTTCTTTTCAACGAATTCATTATCAAGCTGTTGAAGTACTAGTTCTGTGAGGAAATGTGATAAAGGAATAACCAAGATGACGTAATAGAAAGAGTTATACATTTCGAACAATCTGATTACACATAATCGTCAACATATTTCTATACATAAAAACTAATAAATGTCAATCAAATAACAGTTCATTGGATGAACTCATGGGTCGATTGAAGCTAGAGCATAATGGAAGACCTGGAAGCACTGGACGGCCGTTTTGTTCTAGCATGAGACTCCTCATTAGTGCGCATTCACGATTCACGACCTGGATTCATTTGACTCGGGAATTCATCTACTAAATTACTATAATATCAACAAAACTCCACTCTAATTATAATCATATAACAGTTTGAATAAATATAAAGTAACAATTAGAAATAAAGTAAAGAAAAAATAATGTGAAAATAAAATGAGATTACCACATCATTCTAGGCCGTAAAATGGTCTAATGTTTACCAGGACAGATTAGAGGTTATGACAAATTTTTTTTGTGCAAATAAAGGAAGTTCAAATTTTACCGTAACCGAGGCATTTACAAACCTAAGAGATTTATCTTGAAAATTTCTGTATAATGATTTAAAAGCTGTACTTATGTCAGCTCTGTGATCTGTTTCAGTTAGATGTTCCACTACTGTTGAATATGTTTTCCTACTTCCTATGCTGGTAGGATCATTAGACACAAACTAATTCTGTAGCCATTTTGGTACATATTATATATTAGGATTGTATTGTTCGATAACTCCTCCACACAAACATGAGAGTTTGTAAATGCAATTGGACGTGACGTAACGGGTAATGTACTGTTCACACCTATATTTAATCGTGAGCTTGATTTTTTACTAAAAATCAATTCAGGATCATGGTGTCTACTTTCAGTCTCTACCTCAAATTAATCCTATTCTATTCTCTTCTAAGTGGTAAAGTGTTATTGTTTAAACTAACTTTTAAACCGATCTGTAAAACTCATCGAATCATAGTTTAAAATAATTGCTTCGATTATCAGGTACATGTATTCCTGCAGTATATAATTCTTGACTTCTGTTGATGAAACAACGAACAGAAGCTATGGAAATTTACATATATTGCATTTTCTAGATTGACCTGCTATCAACCACACTATTTAATAAAAATTCTATTTATAAAACATTATTAACTTTACGAATTATTAAATTATTTCAACAGTCTATCAATTTATTTGAAGACATAAATATTGGTACAAACGGACAACGAATACATATGCACAACACAGGTCACTTGATTTGGGTATGGACTGTGATACTTCGCGGGTATCCAGAACGAACCAGGTAGTTTTCTTAGTAGGGCCACACCACGAGCCTTTGACATAAAGGTCTGATACACAAGTCAGTGTATCAATGCAAGCAGATGCAGTCACGCGGTAACCGATGACTAACAATTGGTTCATACACCATTTGTTCCCTCAGGATCTTGGAACCCATCTACATCATTAGTTGGGAAACAGGCTTCGCCAACTAACCTAGCTGTATCCTCCATATCCACCTTCCCGTTTAAAGCGACGGACATTTACTTTTCGTTCTCTCAATTTCGTAAACAATACCTCCTCCTCAAGAAGACAGTGAGTAGAACATTCGTGATAGTGGTTGTATGCACTTGGCTATGTGAGAGCATTCGGAGAGGAAAATCTCACTCTCCTCACTCTCGACCGTACTACAGTATTTGGGAACTGTCAGTAGTCTAATTATTCTTTAATAAATAATTGTTATTAAGGGAAAAATAAAAGAGAACGTTAGTATACAGAAACAACTAACAATAAAAGATAAATAATTTTCTTTTCAACTATTGAATGATTATTGAAAGAAATTTAAACACTTCCATTGTAACATTCAATTTTCATTTAGTGCATTCAGTGAATGTCATACCGTGAAAATTGAACAATAGACGATAGTGATATGAATTTAATTTTATTATAATAGAACTTGATTTTACTTTTATTCATCGAAAGAAAAAAGAAGAAAAAAAGAAGAAAGAAAAAAAGGATAGAAGCCAAAATTGAATAGATAAATTTAATTTAAATTATTCAAAAAAAAAGAAAAATTAAATCATTAATCGTTTATTGTTTGATTTTTATCTCTTTCATTTTTTATTTTGTCATTTATTTATTTGATTGTTTTGTATGGGTTTATATTAAATATGCAAAGTAATGATAGATAAGAAAGAAAGAAATTAATGATGATGATGATGATGATGATGATGATGATGATGATGATGATGATGATGATGATGATGATGATGATGATGATGATGATGATGATGATGATGATGATGATGATGATGATGATGATGATGATGATGATGATGATGATGATGATGATGATGATGATGATGATGATGATGATGATGATGATGATGATGATGATGATGATGATGATGATGATGATGATGATGATGATGATGATGATGATGATGATGATGATGATGATGATGATGATGATGATGATGATGATGATGATGATGATGATGATGATGATGATGATGATGATGATGATGATGATGATGATGATGATGATGATGATGATGATGATGATGATGATGATGATGATGATGATGATGATGATGATGATGATGATGATGATGATGATGATGATGATGATGATGATGATGATGATGATGATGATGATGATGATGATGATGATGATGATGATGATGATGATGATGATGATGATGATGATGATGATGATGATGATGATGATGATGATGATGATGATGATGATGATGATGATGATGATGATGATGATGATGATGATGATGATGATGATGATGATGATGATGATGATGATGATGATGATGATGATGATGATGATGATGATGATCATGATCATGATAATAATAATAATCTGGATGATTTGTTTGGTGATAATGGTGATGGACTGGTTTAATTTGAATTCTCATTTTTTTCTCAAATCCGGTAAATACTATTGTTTTATTCATTAAACTTTTATTACGTTTTTGCGTATTTTAGTGTTTTATGAGTTTATTGATTATTAAAAAGAAATTTCTTTACCTTTATTTTTAAAAACATAGAAAGTAAAATATTTACAAGTTAGTTCAATGAATAAGTGACCTCGATAATTACTTACTTACTTATGCCTGTTACTTCTCGTGAAGGAGCATAGGCCGCTTACCAACACTCTTTATCCAACCCTGTGCTGGACAATCCTTTCCAGGTCTTCCCAGCTGTTATTCATCCTTCTCATATCGGCATCTGTTTCCCAACTTAATGTGTTCTTTGGCCTTCCACTTTTCTACTTCCCTTCAGTATTCCAAGTTAGGTTTTGCCTCGTGATGCAGTTTGGTGATTTGCGTAATTTATGTCCTATCTATTTTTATCGTCGTTTCTTAGTTTCCTCTTGAGCTGGAAGCTGGTCAGGTTTGAACTATAATTTATGAACGACCTTTGAGCGACACCAAAGCGACCTTGAGAGTATTTGAATGACGGTTATAAAGCAGTTTGAAGAATAAATATTATGATTCACAGTTGATGGTTAGGGTTATGAATTAGATTTACGGTTTTTCATCACGAACTGACATCAGCTATAATGTCAAAACTCGATTTAGCCAAATGAATGAATGATTTTTGCACCAAAATCCAAGACGTGTTATCCTTATTCAGATTGGTTCGTCCATAAACTATGGTCTCGCCACCTGATTGTTGTTGTTCACTGTTAGTACTTTTATTTCATGACGAACACTGTTTATTTAAAATAGTATAAACAGTAAGAAAGTAACGTAGTTTGAATTTTTGTTACTGATGTTGAAGTAACCGTTTTTTCTCTGATACTGTTCAAAAGACCTAACGTATAATCTGTATAACTATTCAGAGGATAAGCTAGATAGATTGCTTGTCAAATTTTGTGGGCATTCTGTAGCTATTATCAGCTTTAAGATGCATTTACAAAATGATGTTCATCGTCATGAGAACTGATCTGTCCTTATAGTGGAGGTTCATTATTGTATCTAATGGATCTCGAACAAGCAACCAATCTAAATATCTTCTCGAGCTTCATTTATGTAATTCTTCCTCATCATCTTTCAGTAATCAATGTCTTGATTTTATATTTAAGCCACATAATAAATTATGATTCTCAATTTAACTCTTTATAATCAAAACATAAATTGCATACTGATCAAGTGTCCTCTTAATACCGAAATATTGAAATGAATCAATCACGAGTCATGTTGTACATTATCAGTATGAGTCGGTCAGTGTGAAACAAATAACACCATTTATTTAGATTTTGTCATTATTCTTAGATGATTTTTTTATTAACAGAAGGTAAATTATTCTGGTACAAATAATATATACTGACAGGTCCTGGATTCGAATCTCGCGAGGTGGAATCGTGGATGCGCACTACTGAGGAGTCCTACAATAGGATGAAACGACTATCCAGTGCTTTCAGGTTTCCCATAGTGATCTAACTTCAATTGACTCATGATCTCTACCATTAAAATGACTATAATATCCACAAAACTCATTCTGATACTAATATATACTACTTAAATAAATATAATACATATCACAAGTCATAACCAACCTATACATTCTAATCACTGATAATAGTTAGTATTGTGAGATCAACCTAATAATAGCTTGATTTTACGCCACCATCTAAACATGTGCATAGATACTTTTTTTTTACTCGAATTCATCATCTATATTCTTCTTATTCAGTAGACACGTGTATGTAACTGACAGAAAATGGGTTCAATTAGTAAGACAAAGTCAAATTAAAATAATGTCTAATCTTACAATAAACGATTAGATATAAACAAAGTATTGTTTCAGTGAAAATCTTCTTAATTAACTTGACTAATAAAACTGGTATCAAATAACCAACAATTTGTATACATCTGGATGTATTTATATTATATATATAGTAATATTATAGGCAGATAGTACATACTAATCTAAAAGATAATTATGATTACGATCTATTTCACATTCAATATCATCATTGCATCCTGTCTTGATCAATGTAATAATAATAACAATTGTCATGGTAACAATATGTGCTATTCAAATGTACTACAGAGAAGTACTGTATCAATAATTAACGGAACAAAAAAAACTATACATTACTCAGTGTAGCTACAATTTACTTTCACAAAAAACGTACCAATTTTAAATGGCATGAAATAATGGACAGTGAATGTTTTGTGTAGATTTGTTTTAATTAATAAAGAATATAATTGACTATCCATATTGTACAATGAGAGATTAACTTTGTTATGCATCTTTTTTCTAAACTCTCTCTCTCACACACATTATTAGTATTAATTTTTCCAGGTTTTCCATGGTGGTCTAGCTTCAATTTACTCATTAATTCAACTAGTGAAATTAATAAAATCTCCACAAAAACCCCTTCTGATAATAATCATTTGCTCACGAGTTACTGACTTCAAGAGGCATTTCTTAGAGTTCTAGTGAGAAGCCGTGACCAGTGAAGTTAAACATAGTCTGTTGTGAGATATCAGCTCACTGAATACAATGGTGGTTTGGTTGAGGTTAGACATTAACACCGCTGGATGCCGGCTCAGTGATCTAATGGTTAAGCGCTCGCGCGTGAGAGTGATTGGTCCTGAGTTCGAAACCGTGGATGCGCACTGCTGGGGAGTCCCACAATAGGACGAGTTGGCCGTCCAGTTCTTCCACGTTTTCAGTGGGGGGTTTAACATCAATCAATTCATGATTTCAATCAAAAACGTAATAATTTCCACAACCCTATACTGAAAATTTTTCTCTTCGTCCTCACAATGTTCTGACTAAGTGGTGATCATCGAAAACAATACTTGACATCAATAATATCAGTGAACTGTAACTGTTGACATGAGAAGTATATGAGATTACTGTAAAATATTTCTGAAATAAATCTCGATAAACTACAATAAAGCTGCTGATATAGTTTACTATAAACTGCCATGTCATAAACTAGATTATAATCAGAGAGAGATTTCATGGATATTATAGCAATTTAATAGTTGAATTCATGAGTCAGTCGAAGACAGACCACCATGGAAAACCTGGGATCTCGCGAGGCGGGATCATGGATGCACATTGCTGAGGAGTCACATACAAGGGCGAAACGGCCGTCCAGTGGTTCCACGTTTTCCATGGTGATCTAACTTTAATTGACTCATGAATTCAACTATTAAATAAACTAGATTATTGTAAAACATCTTTAGTTATGCATTGAACAAGTAAAAACAGCATACAATCTGCAAAATTGTTGTAACTGCTTTTTCTGAATTGAGTAGATTGACTATTACCTACAAACAGTTTTAAGAGCTAAATGTTTCTTCCCAATTTTATTAAATATTTATACGGTAAAAACTACCATATCAGAGTATATTGAAAGCAAAATGATTTTTATGTATGATACGATATAAGGGATTGTATAGCAGGTAGTAATTTAAACTTGATGTAGCCATGATATTACGTAATAAAAACAAAATATCCGCATATTAAACTCCTATTCATCAACTATGACTTATTGTACTAAATGGAATTTATCAAGATCTCAAAACAATAAGGATAAAGAAGATAATATCCAATGATGAACTAGATAAATGACACGGTAAAATAAACAATATTAACGACCGATCTTAAGATTTTGCCTAAAACATATTGATTTTATTTCAATGAAGAACTTCTCAAATTAGTCTATGAACAATCTAACCTTATCACTAATACTAACGTCCTACCTTAAATAAATTCAGTAACTTTCGTAACCTGCATAAAATACAGAGAAATATCATAATAATTCTTATTTCTTTACACAAGATAGGCTTTCTTTCACTCACTTATTAGTGTTTTCTTTAGCATTCTAAAGTTTTATTATTATTATTATTACTCATATTTGTCGTAAGTCCATCAACAGTAAACTCGCATTTCATCTATTGCTAGATAAACAATACAATTGATTGATGTATGCATTGTGGCATTGTAATCGATTACTTCTGCTGGATTGATTTGATAGTATTCCATAGTTTAATGAATGTCGTTAACTAACTTTCCTTAACAAAACATACTATTTCAATTTCCACTATGATTTTTTAAAATATTATCATTAAGAAAGAAATAATTCTACACTTAGCATATTACTATCTGAAATACTCGCTTAATCAATTTACAAATTTAAGATGGATTGTGGCTAGAAGTGGGATCCAGGATGCGTGTTTCGTTTTATTTGGGACTCGTCAGCTGGAGGTTCCTGTATCTCAAATTTGATGTTCACTTTGAGACTCAAACCCAGTACCATTCGCTTCAAACGTCATCGTATTATCTACTTAGCTACTGAGTCCTGAAAGTCACTTGCTTGTGCAATGGATTGAAGTTCAAAATCAATTGACATTATTTACTTGAACCTTCCCATTGATGTTTAGGACATCAATTGATCAGTACACATTGCACAGTATGCACATATGTCAAGTGAATTTATTTATAAAGTTATTTGTTTTCCAACCTTTATTATATACCGAACCTAATATTTGAATGAAGTGGTGCAATCTCCTTAGAAAACAAGAAAAGAAATAATAAACATTTCATTTTAATTCATTCTTCAGGGAATTTATATTCTTAGACTAGCTGTCCTAATTAGTTTACTCATAAGATACATCTTTGCATTTTCCACACAAACATTACTTCAATAGAATAAAACCAATAAACTATCAATTAAGCCAAAGAATTTCTTCTTGCATAAGAAACATGACAGTTTTCTTTACTAATATACTATGTAAATTAAGAAAGAAGGAAATTAAGTCTTTAATAATTGAATTCATGAGTCATTTGAAGCTAGATCACCATGGAAAACATGGAAGTATTGGACGACCGTTTCATCCTAATATGCTGAGTAGTCCATTACTAGGATAGAACGTC